TGCTAGGTACAGGTTTCTACTCAGTAATTCGGGGGTGAGGCCTGGATTTCTGCTTCTCCAATAAGCTTTCCGTCAATACTGCTGGTCTGTGGACTTCACTTTCAGTAGCAAGGACACTAGGAGCAAGGTTAACTCAGAGCTGGAAGGTGGTGTCAGGGCCTCCAGAGCAGGGCAGTGGGTCTAGAACACACAAAGGGAAGAGCCAGTAGGTGACCGGACTCTCTCTGCTTCTTGGAGTCTAGTCGTGGCAGGCCATGCCACACACACCAACTCTTCAACCAAGTGGGAACGATTCAAATGATTGTAGTAAAAAACAAAAGACTCCTGGTTCCCACCAGGTGCAAACTGTTACTAAAAATAAAGTAGGTTCGAATTTTCCTCAAAGAGGTCTTCCACAACCCCCCATCCAAAGTTATCCCTTCACCCCCATAGCCAGCTGGCCTGCCCCGTCATTCTCCATCCTGCACCCTCTCTCCTTGCACAGGGATCACACATGCACCATGACCTAAAGGCTCTCCTTACCTTCTCCTGCTCCACCCCCCAGTAAACCTCTTGAACACCTAATCCCATTTTGCCATTTGCTTCATGGCAGATTCAACCTAATGCAGGCTTCCTTGTCAGAGACATTCTCCCTATTCCCCTGTGATATGAGGCTTTTCCCTCAAGTGAAGACTGCAGTTTGTGGAAATAACTTGGCAGGAGGTTGGGGAAACCAGTTCTCTTCATTCTTCCCCCCTAACATCCCTCATTGCCTGAATCCTAGCAGCAGTAATGTGCTAGAGACAGCTTCTATCACCTCACAAAAGCCAACTTAAATTTTAAGGAATTTAGTTAAGTTGGTTGGTAAACACAGTCATTATTAAATATCCTTAAAGTTAAATAAATTATGTTAAGACCAAAGGTGATTAAAAATTCAAAAATTCACCAATGCCCATTATTACACATTGCGGACCAGTAGTTTTATTGCTAGCTTTACCCAGTGGCCAGATAAGTTTCTATTGAACGAGTACAAAAAACGTTTTACATAAATGTTAAAGGCACTCTTTAAAATGAAATCCCCATTGCATTTTGAAGTTATTACATGTTCTTACAAGCTAATACCTTTTTAAAGTATGATACTTTGTAAAACAGTGTAATATGAAGCAAGAATTCTCATGATCCGTCCGCAATGTCTTAACAACTTTCCATTATCTATACCCTTGAGGTTATTTGCATCTCTTATATCTGGGTGTTGGAACTAATGTGTAATGGTGCTCTACTTGCACTTCTCTGGATTTTGGAGGCCAGATTTAGATGTGCTGTTTCAGCTCTTTTCTTTGGTAACTTGAGAGGTTGCCAGCTTTGAGGGCAGCCTGCAGCAAGGGAAAGCTTTTAGCTAGTCCAGAAAGCCAGGCCCTCTGATCCACGAATCCAGTGGGCTTGACGCACCTGTGGCACACAGGCAGCTTTGGCACCCTCAGAAAGCAAATCAGAGCACGGTCCCCTAGGGGTTTGCCAAGAGCTCTGTGGCACAGAACTGTTTTCCTTTTGAGAAACGAATCTGGATGTGTTGCTTGGCACTGGTAAATACAGCAGTTTGTCATGAGACATTAGGTAACCAAGCAAATGGTGCTCATCATAACTTGGGGTCACCTGACCCGCCAAGTCACAGAACCAGCTACCATTTAGTGTGCGTGCACCATGTGCCAGGCTCTTTTCTAAGCTCTTTACTTGTAGCGTTTCCTTTAATCCTCCCCAGTTATTGGTGATAGTGCTGTTATTACTTTAGAAAACTGACACAGAGAGAGGGTAAGCAATTTGTTCCATCATCATATAGCTCCTAAGTAGCAGAGCTTGATTTGAACCCAAGCCCTTTAGCTCCAAAGTCTAATTACTAAATTATACAGCTTCTCATGATCAAGTGGAAGTTTTCTATGTGGGACTGGGCTTGATCAGAATCTGAAGACACAGCCAATGGCATGGTGTGCTCGCTCCTACCACCCGTCCATTCTTCTCCAGCCTGCACGTCTCACCTGGGGACGTCCTCCAAGTCCAGGTGACTAAACAGACGACCGGCACATATGATGGCAACAGCACAAGCGGCCTGCCACCACGCTGTAGCCCAACTCAAGGGTGGCCCTGAAGGACAACTGAGAAGGGAAATTTTGCAGTAGACCAAATGGTAAGTATTTCACCCCGTTGACCACTTTGTCTGAAAAGGAGAAACGGTCTGAGGTGTATATGTCAGTCGCTGATCGGTTTAGCTCAACAACCAGAGACTTGGAAGGATCAAGAAGGTAGAGCTGGTGACAAGCATATTAGGGGGAAGAGGTATGTAGGGGATCTCTCAGAATGGATCCAGAGTAGGAGGTTATTTGGTTCTTTGTGAATAACCAGGAATAGGCCTCCACTCACTAAGCAGGTGCGAAGGCTGGCCTGTCCTCTATCTCAGCCTGGCTTCTTCCTCTAGGCATTCCGACGGTGCCCAGTGGGCATGGAGGCAGAGATGCAGGCTGCATGTGGCTTCAGCAACTTGGATTTCCCCTCACCAAGGCTGATCTGGCTACTGTTTCTGCTGAATATTTAGTTGTCCAGCAATTAAAACCAAATTTGAGTTCCTGGTATGAATTAGGCTTGAATGCAACAGAGCCAGGGAAAGAAATGGATTCTCTCCAGACCACCGCTGCCAATATACCATCTTCTGCTCAGCACTTAAATGTCAGAATCCTGGTGCTGAAGGCCAAAATCCTGCCTCAGCTTGCCTGGTAGAGCTGGATGCCTCCTCCTTCGGGCCTGCAGGAGCAGCAGCTCTCCCTTGTGGCTCCTGTGGATACCAAACATAGGAGCGTGTGTGATGAGTTGAAACATCAAAGGAGTCTGGGAAAGGTGGCCTTACTGTAACAGAAACTTATTCTGGACCTGGATTAGCTCTCTTGTTGAACAAACTTCTGCACACACCAATCTTCACAGACTTCTGAATGCTTATTCACCACCATACATATTTCACCCAACATTGGTTCTTGCTAAGAAACTAATTTTACAGCAATGGGCTTACACTATGGGGTTCACTGCTTCTATCATGTACTCCATCACCCTCATGTCTGGCCTCACAGAGAGTAAAGACTTATAGAACTAGCTGTCAGTCCAGCATACAGATTACTGAGATGGGCTCATGACAGACCAGTGAGATGAGAGGTCATCACCCAGAGACTTTGTATTTGAAGACAGATGCAGTAACTGACGAAACTCAGAGACACAATATCATTTTACTGAATTCCTTTTTGATCAAATTATCCAGAGTGGGTTTCATAGAGAAAGTCCTAGAACAGCGGTTCTCAACCTGTGGGTCGCGACCCCTTTGGGGTCAAACAACCCTTTCACAGGGGTCGCCTAAGACCATTGGAAAACACATATATAATTACATATTGTTTTTGTGATTAATCACTATGCTTTAATTATGTTCAATTTGTAACAATGAAAATACATCCTGCATATCATGTTCACATTACGATTCATAACAGTAGCAAAATTACAGTTATGAAGTAGCAACAAAAATAACTTTATGGTTGGGGGTCACCACAACATGAGGAACTGTATTAAAGGGTCGCGGCATTAGGAAGGTTGAGAACCACTGTCCTAGAAGGATATATTCCAACTAGAGGCCTGGTGCACAGGATTTGTGCACTGGTGGGGATCGGCCTGCTGTGGGAGCGCCGCTCATCCTGGTCAGCCGAGCTGCTATGGACCCGCCCCCTGAGCCGCTGCTCCCTCTGTGGGAGCGAACTAACCACCAGGGGGCAGCTCCTGTGTTGAGCGCCTGCCCCCTGGTGGTCAGTGCGCATCATAGCGATTGGTCGAATGGTCGTTCTGGTCCTTCTGCCTTTTGGTTGCTGGGCTTTTATTATATAGGATAACTGAAGAGTGGTTATTGTTGACTCCATAGGAATTAAGTATTTTCTACATTCTTTTTGTTAGTCTATATTTTCTAATATTCTTAACATGAGCATTAACATTTTTATTATATTTTATTTTTATTGTTGACATTATTACAAATGTCCCCTATTTTCCCCCCTTTGCTCCCCTCCACCCAGACCCTTCCCCCCTCCTCTGGCCCTCACGACATTGTTGTCTGTGTTTGTGGGGCTATTCATATATGTTCTTTGGCTATTCTCTTCACCTTCTTTCATCCATCTGCCCCAGAGCATTAACATTTTTTAAAACTATATTTTTATTGACTTCAGAGAGAAAAGGAGAGGGAGAGAGATAGAAACATCAATGATGACAAAGAATCATTGATCAGCTGCCTCCTGCATGCCCAGCCCTGGGGATCAAGTCTGCAACACTGGCATGTGCCCAGGAATTGAACCCTGACTTCCTGGTACATAGCCGATGTTCAACCACTGAGCCACACTGGCTTGGCCAGAGCATTAACATTTTTAATAAAAAATACTTCTAAAGAATTATTTTAAAATATATGTCATCTTGAGTTTCCAATAAACTTTATGATTTACGGCCTTATGTTATAGGTACACATTTATTATCAAGACCATGCTTTAAAAAGGAGGAAAACCTCAGTAAGCTTAATTCAGAATGAAAGAAAATTATATTGTAAAGAAAGAATAAAGCAAATATTCACTCAAAACCAGGGAAAATAATACCGTTCTCTAGGAAAAAAGCAATAGAACAATTTTACTTTTATATATAATTTTATTTATGTTTTACAAATAATTGATATAACTATGTTAAATTTACAATGCTACAAATATGTAAGAAGACTATATATGACTATTGATCTCACAGTTGGCAAAAATATATAAAATATTGATTAACGAAAGCAGAAGGCCACTGTGAAATGTTCATAAGCATTAGGTATAAAATGTATGGATACCTTTACGTCAAAGTTGTACATCCATGGTGGGACACTCATCATAAATTTTGCATCTATTCAGTGAGAGAGAAAAATAGCCAAATACTATATAGTAAATAAAATCTGTCTAATCATCTTCCTAAACTCTTCTATGTTATTTTCTAGGAGTCTTTTTACAATCACAATCACATTCCTTCTTGGTATTTATATTCTCCAGGAACTAAAAAAAAAAAGAACAACAACAACAAAAAAATGAGAAAAACTTAGATTGGCAAATAAAAATTGTACAGTCCTGCCAAAAACCACAACCATATACCCAAGTTTACAATTTCACACTCTATAACATATATCCTCATAGTACTCAAAATCTCATGGTGACAATTGGACAATGATAGATGGTGGGCTTTGGAAGGTAGCTGCACAACCTCAGAAATACTTAGAGCTAATTTACATTTCTTTGGTGCCCAAGCCAGCCCAGCCCAGCCCACCCCAGCTCAGCATAGCCTTGTGCTGCTCATCCCTGCTATTAAAGGCCTGGCTCTTATCTGTGTAGCAGACTTAAAGAAGCTTGGGTAATGCATAGAGCAGATAACCCAGCAACAGATACTGGAATGTGTATATACTAGTAAGTATGTATGCTCATATAACATATGTGAATCTGTATGTTATACACAGTGTACATAGACATTATAGGAGTTAAAAGAGAATGAATTTTCATACCTAAGTTTAAATAAGTAATGACAGTTTGTGTGTGTATATGTGTGTGTGTGTGTGTGTATATATTTATATGTGTGTGCGTGTGGGGGGGCGGTATATTTATATATATATATATATAT